GAAGACGCCGGTCTCCGTCGACACGTACGCAGAGCTGGTGTTCGACGACGAGGAGTTCCAGTCGCGCGAGGAAGCAGAGTACCGGCAGAAGGTCGGCTCGCTGCAGTTCGCGGCCACCACGACGAGGCCCGACATTGCCTTCGCTTGCAGCAAGCTCGGATCCGGCCTGACTGTGCGGAGCGACAACCACTGGCGTGAGGTCGATCGCTGTCTGCACTACCTTGCTGAAACTCGTGACGCCGCTCTGGAGTTCGGCGGCGGACCAGAGTCGCTGGTTCTGGTCGGCTATGCAGATGCAGACGACGCTGGCGACAAGCAGAATCGGACGAGCACGGGCGGCTACATTTTCATCTTCGGAGGAGCCGCAGTTTCGTGGTCGAGCCAGCGCATCAAGTGCGCGACGCTCTCGTCGACGGAGTCGGAGTACGTCGCGGCGACAGAAGCCGGCAAGGAGGCTCGCCGCCTGCGCTTCCTCCTTGCAGAATTCCGCCTACTCGACCCAAGGAAGCCGACTGTTCTGCACGTGGACAACCAGTCGGCGATCAAAGTCGCAGAGGGCTTGGGGCTCAAGGGCAACCTCAAGCACATGGAGCGACGCTACGCATGGCTGCAGCAGATGGTGAAGCGCGGGAAGATTGCTCTGCAGTACATTTCAACCTCCGAGCAGCCGGCGGATTTTCTGACGAAGGCGCTGCATTTTCCGGCTTTCAACCGGTGCTCCGTCGCAATCGGCCAAGTGCGTCTGGCCGACGTCGGCGACGGGGATGACGAGGTGCAGCAGTAGGTGCCGTGCCCTTCTGCACGGCTGGTGCGGTGAACTACGTGCTATGAGTTGGATGCACGTAGAAGAAATTCCTCCTTGTATTCTATCCCTCTGGGTTCTGGGTGGACCTTCTGTGTGGGGTGCCCAAGCGTGAGCGCGGCAGGGGAGTGTCGAAGGAAATAGCCTCGCCCTCGCTTGAGCGTAGCTGATCTCGCCGCAAACGGGAAGTTCGCGACGGAGCGGTCGACGAAATGGGCTTCTGCAGTTCGGCGGAAGTTGCAGTCGAGCAGGTTCTGCTCGACGGAATCTGGTCGACGAGCTCTGCGCGATGAGCTCTGGTCGACGATCTCTGCGCGGTGAGCTTCCGTCGAAGAGCGCTGGTCGAAGAACTCTGGTCGAAGAGTTCTGGTCGAGAAGCTATGCGCGGCGAACGCTGTTCGACCGTGCAGAGTCGAGCTGATCGACCGAAAGCTGCAGAGTTGCGCGAAACTCTGCGAAGGCGTGCGAACATTCGCCCAGGAGATTTTGGCGAAGTTCTACCTGCGGAACGGCATCACGTGGTCGACGGCGCGCACCTGGCGAAACCGACGACACGTTTTCTACCTGGCACCTGCGCAATGTGCCTGACGGTGAAACCACCAACCTGCACCTACTTGGTAGGTGCGCACATCTGCGCAGATAGACAACCTGCGACCGTAGAAAGTTACCTGCGATTGCAGATAGTCACCTGCGACTGCAGTGCTGGCAGATCGCGCGCAGTGCAACGCTGGCAGGTCACTCTGCTGCAGCGTTGGCGAGCCGCTCTTCTGCTGCGCTGGCAGAGTTCGCCCTTGCTAGGAGTTCCATGCCATTCTAGTCCTTTTGTTTCTGTATGCCTCATTGTTGCTCTCTATTCTTTTCTTTTCCTATCAACTTTGTTAATGCACGTTGTTCTTTCCTTAGTGGAATTCTTGCCAAACTTCTCAGTGAACATAGCAAGCAGTAAGAACGTTAGCATAGCGCTACGATCACTCGCACAACCCCGTGCCCTCCTCCGTAGTCCACTCCCGTTGTGTAGCGACTCTCCGCATCCCTCCCCTCCTAGGTGTGCACGACAGCAGAAGAGCACAGTCTCGACCCCACATCCATGGATGCAGTTGCCATGGACCGAATCATGCAGGCCAAGCGATCTTGAGCATCCGCATAACAATTTCCCGCAAGACAAGCAATGCAGATTCTCCGTAGGACAGCATGAAGCATCCCCAAAATGTTTCTGACCCTAGTATGACCCGTCTTCCGGCCTGACCCGTGGCTGCCCTGTTTTTGCCCCCCGAGTGACTCCTGGGTCAAATTAGGGTTAGTGGTCATTACAGGGCCAGAAAGGGGTCAGTGAGTATTTGCCCCCAAACCTACCCAGCCTTCTCGCTGACCCGTATCTGACCCAACCCTTCCTACCTCTTGCACCTTGACCGCCCGGGTTCGATTCTCGCCATGTATTATATCAGGGAAAAACCACTCCATAGGTGGACGCATTTTGCCAAAAGCAAGCTGAAGCAGTGTACACTATCGGGGTGTACTGATGGAATTAAAACACATACACGTCCAACGCCAAGTCTATACCTGTCTCCCATTACTAATGGGATTCCAACATATCAGCCTGAGCTGATTGGATATGATATTCTGAAACTAATGATCGGCCAACGTATGTGTTTGGAAAAATTAACCATCCCCGCCCACCCGCAAACCTATGATCACATAACAAACTGTTTGCACCAGCTGCACCATGTCTTCAACGTTTTCACTCGTCAAACAGGAACCTATTCACCAAAGAGAACCGGGGCTCGGTGAAGCAAGGGACAATGTGGGCAAGGGGCGGAATGCTCTCCACATCCACAACGGCATACTCATCCTCCCCCTCCGTTGGCAAGAGCCTCACGCATCCCGTCACGGGGCATGGCGTGGGATGCACGTCGAAGTACCGCACCACAGCTCTCCTGTGAATCTGTGCTTCATCGTCCAGGAAATGGAAGAGCATGAGGCACCGTGCATACCACTCGCCGTCCCCGCCAGCAATCGACATGTAGCTGAACTTCCCCTCGCCTGAGGTGGTCTGTGTCTGTGATTGCTTGTCAATGGATGCAATTTCCATGGACCGAATCATCCAGCCTGAGCAATCTCGAACGTCCACATAGTGAACTGTGTCCATCAACAGCAGTTGCTCTTTGATAGAATCAAGTTCTGCGGGTCAGCCAGGTCCGTGTGTTGAAGAAATATAGTAAACTAAGTTTTTGAAATATCTTTAATGTGTCAGGATGGCCGAGTTGGTCTAAGGCGCCAGTTTCAGGTACTGGTCCGAAAGGGCATGGGTTCGAATCCCATTCCTGACATCGCTGCCTGGATTTTTCTCAGCCAGCAAAATGTTACACCGTTCCCCAAATTTTCGTGAAGCACTCGCTCAAACGACCACCGTGGCAAGTACATTCTCGACCCGCCTTCGTTACAAGGAAACAATGAAGTTCGCTAGATCACTCTGTGGCCTTCGCACTCTCACAGAACCTTCCACGAATATCTTTATTTGGTCGGGCGGCGCGGCCAATGCAATCTGGGGCAACCCGACCAGATCAAACCTGACCAGATCACAGGCAATCATTGGCAAACCAGAACACGTCCTCACAAGTTCGTGGATCAGGGACGGTGGTGCTTGCAGCGAAATCTAGTTAGGCCCCATGGGGGTATGCGTTTAAAAGGGAGGTCTAATTAAAAGGGTACAAGCACTTGACGGGTAATCTTCTTAGCGACCCCACTTTACGAAGGTTCTACTGTCGATTAAAAAGCTAAAACGAGGTATTCTCATGACGGTGTTTGTCGAACATCCGAAGGTATTTTCTCATTCTCCCAGGGATTGTCCACACTTCAGTGACACATTTGTGGAGGAGCACTCCACCAACGAATTTTCACAGGTTCGTGGACCAGGCACGAAATGAGTGAAGGTAGGCGATTCCATAAAATTAGATGTAACTTAAGGGTAGAAGACCGTAAGTTCCTAAACGCCTCCAAATTACGAAGGTTCAACTATCGAGAAAAAAGCTTAACGAGGGTATTAGATCGACGTGTCTGTCGAACACCCGAAAACATTCCACAGCCATCAAATTGTTTCTTTTATGGTTAGCTCCTCTTAAAGTTTCCTACTCCCGGGGAATTCCAGCTTTCCCACTCTGCACTTAACAAACGAAGTTCTTATCAACTAGTTGCAGAATTACTTTTTTCGACCCAGTATGGAGAACTCTGCCAAATAAAATCCAAAGAGAATCCGGACCAGTTAAATCGAGCCCTAAAAATGACAGAGATGAGACTGAAATAATCCTGAATTCTCATGGGAAACTGAAAAATGCCCGTTAATTGACAGGCCTGGTTTGGATCTAGACTGCTCAGTGCGTCACGCTTTGTTGGTTTTGTATAGTCGGAACTTCAGATTTCATTTTCTGGGGAACTTCGTTTTGGGACTATCATATTTGGGATGGGACACGGTTTCCAAGTTGACAATCTCGAGGTTCAAGATAGCTTGTCACCGCACTGCACCCACAAGCTAGTCTGCTGTCGAACAGGAGAACCGCGAATAACCCCGTGGAAACAGCAAATAGTGCCAGCGATCGAGCATCATGCCTTGTTGCTACGGGACCAAGATCGTCCATCCATCATCCCTTGGGAGGACCCTTGTTGCTGCTCCGCTTTTGTTCCTGTGTTGTATTAGGTGCTGCTGCTGGTGCTAACTTGATTTGGAGGTGCTTTCTCCAAATCGGTTACATTCTTCTGACGGGTAGAAAGCGATGATTTTGCTACGAGCTCAAGCTAGCGTGTTCGCATTGAGCGTTCGTAACTCGCGTTCCGTGCCGCAAACATGAGAGGGAGAAAAAAGGGCAAGCGCTCGAATTTCGCTTCGCAGTGACCCGCAGTCCGCTAGAACCGGCTTAGAATCTTTCCGAATCTGCATTCCAGGAAAGGTTTATTCAGAAAGCCAGGGCGAATCTGCGGACAATTAGCATAGGCGTTTCATTATGGTTCATTTCGGTTCCGAGGGCTTCAATAGTAGCTGAGAGGAAAATTGGCGAGGGGAAGATGCAACTGGCGTTGCAATTGGGTTATAAGGGATTTCCGCGACTGTTCCTGGAGATTTAGTTTCATTAGACGCGCGTAAAAAAAGTTCAGAGGGAGGCGGCGTGTGCTTTTGAGGCACCTCAAAAGAGGGGAAGCGGAGAGAATGCGGAAGAGCAGCGGAGCCCACCGATCGGCGGAACTATCGGCGGAACTCGGGGATGGGATACGGGACCTTTACGGGGCTCCGCAGTTTGGAAATGCGGCAACGAATCACGGCGGAGAGGAGCAATATTACGACCATCCGCCACCTATAGGAGTAGAAAAAGGAGGGAATGTCGTTCCGCCTCGGCGTTCCCGCAGCATCTCCCCCGCCGTGGGGGAGGGGAACATGGCGCGCGGAAACGGGGAGCGCGCGGGTGGGAGCTTGGCGGCGGATATGGTGATGGGGGAAGTTAAGAATCACACGGGGAGGGTCAAGGAGTTGGGTCGGGTTAGAAGCGGTATGGCGGAAGACACGGCTCATGGAAGGAGCTCAGGTGCTGACATGGTTCAAGGGAGAGTGTACAGGAAAATGGCGACGGAGCGAGAGAGAGGGAAGGAGGCGGAGCGAGTTAGACAGCGCGACCTGGAACGGGGAATTTACCTCGGAGATTTCGACAGATCTGTGACGGAAACCGCGGCTGAGAGGGCGCAGTCGGGTGGTTTACCCTGGAATAATGCGGACCGAGCGGCTGAGCTGCTGGATAGACCACCTACAGGGTCATTAGGGGTGGAAAGGATGAGGCGGAGGGAGAAGGGAGCTGAGGCGAGACGAGAGGCGGAGAGGGAGGGAGCAAGGGGGAGGGCGAGGGATGGGGTTAGGTCAGGGGTTGGGGGAGAGGGGGATGTGATGGGGGGAGGGGGTGATTATAATGAAGGGGGGGATGAACAGTACCTACGCATGGCGACGTGTGATTCGTCGATACGACCAGGGAGGAGCAGGGGCGGGTGTGCCAAAGGGGGTCAGAGCGGGGTTGGTGGTGACACGTCAGCTGGGAGAGAGGGCGAGGAAGCAGAAGGGGTTTCTGAGGAGGAGGACATGGGGATACGGACAAAAGCGGCAAGTAGGCGGCAGCAGCAGCAGCAGCAGCAGCAGCAGCAGCAGCAGCAGCAGCAGGGTTACGGTGCTTCAGCTGCTGCTCACGCTACCCTCTCTCACTCCTCTGCAGGTCCGCGTAGGATGCAGCACAGTGTCACAGCAGGGGAGGCAGGAGGCAGGGAGAGGAGGCGAGGAAAGGTACTGGGAAGCGCAGGGGAGAGGCGTGGTGGGGGGGTGGGTGGTGTTGGGGAGGGAGAGGATGAGGGGATGAGCAGCGATAATCTGACGAGAATAGCCGCCCAGATGATGGGGTTTGAAGATGGGGAGGGACAGGAAGGGCAGGAAGGAATGTTGCAGGAACCAAGACAGGAGGGGCTGATTGGTCCATCCGCCCTGCTGCCGAGCCACAGCTCCTCCCGACCCTCTTCCATCCGCAAGGCACACTCAGCCTCGGCCAAGCCTGGCAAACCCGGAGGCTCGGCAGGAGGCTCGGGAGCTGTCGCAGGTGGCGACGATGCAGCTATCGAGCAACTGCTTCAGCTGGGGTTGAACGATTCACGTCTAAGGGACTGGGCTGCCAGGTTTAAAGCAGGAGAGACAGACAGACGGGAGCTACAGACACTGCTGCTGGAGCTTCAGAAAGAGCAAAGGTTGCACGGGGTGGGGGGAGGAACAGGGGGTAGGGGAGAGGAATTCACAGGAAGGTTTGCAGCAGGGACAAATGAGGCAGAGGGAGTGACTGATTCTGTTGCTGCAGGTGCTGCTGGGTCAGGATTAGGGTTAGGGTTTATGGGGGGTTCAAGGCCTAGATCTTCCTCTCGTAGGCTTGCCAGTAGCAGTGGCGTCCGAAGCAGGCCAGGTTCGTCATCGTACCACAATCGAACCCAGAGGGCCGGGCACGCCAGGTTTGGCAGCAGCATTGGGCTGGGAACAGGCCTGGGTGGGCTAACCTCGGGGGCAGGTTCGGGAGCGGCTGGCTCGGGAGATGCCTTGGAGGGGTCAGGTTCGGAGGGTGGTTCGGACGCGGAGGATTTTTTGACATCGGTTCCCCCTTCGGCCCTAGATGTTCTGCAGGGCAGCGGGCAGGCGAAAAAGAAACCTCCGACCGGAAATTGGAAGAGCCCTCTTTCGGCAGCATCACCACCCGGAGCTTCAGCCACGTCTGGCATTCCCACATCCGCCTCCTCTGGATCATCAGGGCCGTTGAATTCATCCGGATCTGTCCCGTCAAGATCCCGAGGGACATCTGCAGCGTCGATTCTAAGGCACGGCAGTTGGGAGCAGAGGGAGTTTGCACAGCTGGCAGAGCAGTTTGGATTGGCAGCAGAAGAGGAGGGGCTGGGGGGGTTGGTGGAAGGTGGGAGACATGGAGGTGCAAGTGTTGCAGGTGGACCTGGGGTAGGTTTATCTGATGCGAATGCAGCAGAGGCGGGGCTATCTGGTGCAGGTGGGAAGTGGATTGGGAGGAGCAGCTCAGTTCCTGAGACAGGCCCGTCTGGAGGTTCGTGGGGGTTTAGTGGGATGGTGGGAGAGGTTGAAGGGGTGGGAGTTGGAGGGGTAAGAGACACAGAGGATGAGGTGGAGGGGGGAGAAGCTAGGGTAAAATCGAAACTAGTGGCTGGTGTTGCTACAGTTGCAGCTGGTGCATCTGGCACAGCCGGTGGTGGTGGTGGTGGTAAAAGTGGTGGTGACTTATATGGGGGACGGGGTGAAGGATTTCTGGAAGGAGGATCGGATTTGTATGGCAGCAATGGAATGGCTGCTGATCACCTTGTAGCAGGCCAGGTTTTAGGGTTCACTGCTTCTGCTACAGCTGCTGCTGCTGCTACAGCTGATGCTGCTGCTACAGCTGCTACAGGTGCTGGTGGTGGTGGTGGTGGTGATGCTGCTGCTGTTGCTAGTGCGGGTGCTTCTCGCACTGGTGGTGACCTGTATGCGGCACCACCACCATCATCATTCCCCCTTCCACCACACCCATCAGCACCTCTCCCGCCAGCATCCTCCCTCTCTAGAAAACCCCCTCAGCCAAGGCTCCCCCGCGCATTCTCTGCAGACACTGCAAACGCCCTCCCCCCCCGCAGCTCCAGTGCAGGAGAGGGCGAGAGAGTGGGAGCAAGAGAGGGAGCGAGCGAGGGAGAACGAGACGGAGAGGGAGAGCTAGGGGGAGCGGAGGAGGGGTTGATGGCTCTGGAGAGGAATCTGAGCCTACCGTCGCCCAAGCCGGTTCCGCAGGTGGAGGAGGCTTCATTTGATCGCAATTTGTCGCTGCACAATGTGATCAAGAAGCGGATCAGCAGCCACGCAGGGGAGGTGGGGCAGCAGTTTGCTCGCCTCTCCACGCTCCTGAAGAAGTCATGTGAGTGCTTCCATTCCCCGCGCAACAAGTTGCCCCCCTTCCAACCTACCTGTCACTGCACAATGTGATTAAGAAGTGGATCAGCAGCCATGCGGGGGAGGTGGGGCAGCAGTTCGCCCGCCTCTCAACCCTCCTCAAGAAGTCATGTAAGTGCTGCCCTGTAACAAGTTGTGAGACCCCTCCCTTCCAACCAACCTGTCGCTGCACAATGTAATCAAGAAGCGGATCAGCAGCCAGCCATGCAGGGGAGGTGGGGCAGCAGTTTGCTCGCCTCTCCACGCTCCTCAAGAAGTCATGTGAGTGCTGCCTCACTCCCTCTTCCCGTCCACTCCACCCTACTTCGTCCCTGTCCAACGTCCATCCCATGCAACTGGCATGGCCGCACTGAAGCAGCAGCAGGGGGGGAATTACGATCACATTCTCTTCCTGTTCAACCTCTCCTCTACTCCCCTTTCCTGTCCACTCTTATACTCCTGGCATTCTCACACGTAACAATCTCGTTCTTTTGCGCATTCCTCCCTTTCTCCTGCTTGCCAGCGTGCACACCGAACGCACCTGGCAATGGGGGCAGCGGAGCAGCAGCAGCAAGCTGTAACTTCGCATTCTCACCTGTAACAATCCTGTTCGCTTGCACTTTCCTCCCTCTCGCTTTCCTCTCAGCGTCCACACCCAACGCACCTGGCAGTGGGGGCAGCGGAGCAGCAGCAGGGGCCAAGCGGCCGACACAGGAAGGGAAGAGACCACCCAAGCCAGCCAAGAGCGCATCAGACAGACCGTCCAGTGGCAACCCACTCGCCAGGTGTGTGTGTTCTCCTCTCAGCACCCACGCCCAACGCACCTCAGCACCTGGCCTGGCAGTGAGGGCAGTGCAGGCAGCGGAGCAGCAGCAGGGGCCAAGCGGCCGGCGCAGGAAGGGAAGAGACCACCCAAGCCAGCCAAGAGTGCATCAGACAGACCGTCCAGTGGCAACCCACTCGCCAGGTGGGGTCTGTTTTGCTTCTTGGTTTTTTTTTTTTATTTTTTTGTTTTACCCATTTGGATTCAAACCCTTTTTCCCCATCCTCTTGCTTTCCTGCCCATCCTCTTTTTTCCCCATCCTTCATTATCTCCCCAACCCTCTCATTCCCCTCCTTCAGAACGTATTCCATGGGAGCAGAATTCAGCGATTTGGCCGCACCCAACAGTCCATACCCAATCCAAGAGCTTTGGACCAACCCTCCCCATCCCCTTCCCGTTCCACCCAACCCTGTCATTCCCCTCCCTCAGAACGTCATCAATGGCAGCAGAGTTTGGCGATTTGCCAGCACCCAAGGAAGATAGTACATCCATACGTTACATCTTTGCCTCTCCTTATTCCCCCTACCCCTTGCCTCCCCCCCAACCCTTTCATCCCCCCCCCTCAGAACGTCATCCATGGCAGCAGAGTTTGGCCATTTGCCCGCACCCAAGGAAGATAGTACATCCATACGTTACATCTTTGCCTCTCCTTATTCCCCCTACCCCTTGCCTCCCCCCCAACCCTTTCATCCCCCCCCCTCAGAACGTCATCCATGGCAGCAGAGTTTGGCCATTTGCCCGCACCCAAAGCATCCATGCCCAAGAGCGTTGCCTCCAGCCCTCCTTATTAGCCCCATCCCTTCCCGTTCCACCCACCCTCTCATCCCGCGCAAAACGCCATTCATGGCAGCAGAGTTTGGCGACTTGCCCGCACCCAAAGCATCCATGCCCAAGAGCGTTGCCTCCAGCCCTCCTTATTTACCCCATCCCTTCCCGTTCCCCCCAACCCTCTCATCCCGCGCAAAACGCCATTCATGGCAGCAGAGTTTGGCGACTTGCCCGCACCCAAAGCATCCATGCCCAAGAGCGTTGCCTCCAGCCCTCCTTATTTACCCCATCCCTTCCCGTTCCCCCCAACCCTCTCATCCCGCGCAAAACGCCATTCATGGCAGCAGAGTTTGGCGACTTGCCCGCACCCAAAGCATCCATGCCCAAGAGCGTTGCCTCCAGCCCTCCTTATTTACCCCATCCCTTCCCGTTCCCCCCAACCCTCTCATCCCGTGCAAAACGCCATTCATGGCAGCAGAGTTTGGCGACTTGCCCGCACCCAAAGCATCCATGCCCAAGAGCGTTGCCTCCAGCCCTCCTTATTTACCCCATCCCTTCCCGTTCCCCCCAACCCTCTCATCCCGCGCAAAACGCCATTCATGGCAGCAGAGTTTGGCGACTTGCCCGCACCCAAAGCATCCATGCCCAAGAGCGTTGCCTCCAGCCCTCCTTATTTACCCCATCCCTTCCCGTTCCCCCCAACCCTCTCATCCCGTGCAAAACGCCATTCATGGCAGCAGAGTTTGGCGACTTGCCCGCACCCAAAGCATCCATGCCCAAGAGCGTTGCCTCCAGCCCTCCTTATTTACCCCATCCCTTCCCGTTCCCCCCAACCCTCTCATCCCGCTCAGAACGTCATCCATGGCAGCAGAATTTGGTGACCTGCCAGCACCCAAGGCAGTCCACACCCAATCCAAGAACTATGCCCCCAACCCTCCCCAATCCCCCCACCCCTTCCCCTCTAACCCCACTCCTTCCCCGTTTCCCCCCCTCAGAACGTCATCCATGGCAGCAGAGTTTGGTGATTTGCCCGCACTCAAGAGAGTCTATACCCATCAGAGCGTTTCCTCCATGTTTCAACACTCCTTGATCTCCTCACCTCTTCCTTTCCCCTCCACCGCTTTCCTTTCTCCCCAACCCTCTCATTCATTCCCCTCAGAACGTCTTCCATGGGAGCAGAATTCAGCGATTTGGCCGCACCCAACAGTCCATACCCAATCCAAGAGCTTTGGACCAACCCTCCCCATCCCCTTCCCGTTCCACCCAACCCTGTCATTCCCCTCCCTCAGAACGTCATCAATGGCAGCAGAGTTTGGCGATTTGCCAGCACCCAAGAGAACGCACTATCAGTACTCTGAATTACAGGTGTGATTTGAACCTGCTTGTAGCATGATCAGTATTTTGATGTGCAGTGCGGTGCACTGCAGTGCAGTGCGGTGAAGTGCATATGCATGCAGTTATGTTGTTTGCATTTGCATTAAATGTTGTTAGCTAAAAAACTCAAAAATACTTCGCGAGTGTAAAGCTCCAAATACGCAAATTCAGATGATGCTCCCCCTTTCTCTATATACACCTTTTCCTCCCTTTTTCAAGTGACCGTAAACAGGTAGTGAACCTTTCCCTCCTCATTCTGACATATCCCAAATTCCCCAACCCTCGTCCAATCCCCCGTTGCCAGCTGGCGACCGAGAATTTCAACGAGGCCAACGTGTTGGGGCAGGGCGGATTTGGGAAGGTGTATTATGGTGTGCTGCCCGTGCACCCCGCTCAGGTAAGTAGGTGCTTTGTGTGGTGTGGACGCTGTACCGTGTATGACTGTAGCGGGGCCAACATGTTGGGGCAGGGCGGGTTTGGGAAGGTGTATTATGGCGTGCTGCCTGTGCACCCTGCTCAGGTAAGTAGGTGCTTTGTGTGGTGTGGACGCTGTACCGTGTATGACTGTAGCGGGGCCAACGTGTTGGGGCAGGGCGGGTTTGGGAAGGTGTATTATGGCGTGCTGCCTGTGCACCCTGCTCAGGTGAGGAATCAGTTGCTTCTTCTGGTTACAGTATCGTGATGCTATGTATGGGGCAGCATGGGTTCGGGAAGGTGTATTATGGCGTGCTGCCAGTGCACCCCGCTCAGTGAGAACGCAGATGCTTTGTGTGTGTGTATGTATGTAGCGGGTGGGATGTAGTTGTGAAGCTGCTGAAGCAAGGAGGGGGGGAGCAGGGCGACGAGGAGTTTGTCTCTAGACCCTTGTGTGGGTGTAGTGTAGGAACCGACCTTATATTTACAAAATATGCCCTCTATCTCTATGCCACACATCACCGTCAGGTTGTGGCAGTGAGGTTGCTGAAGCAGGGAGGAGGGGAGCAGGGCAACGACAAGTTTGCCTTGAGACCCTTGCTTGTGTGTCTGTAGGGACCTCTGGTATATATGATATGCCCTCTATACTGCGACGCAATTCCCCCTTCCCTCTCTCCATCAGGTGGTGGCAGTGAAGGTGCTGAAGCAGGGAGGAGGGGTGCAGGGCGACGATGAGTTTGTGACAGAGCTGGAGCTGCTGCCGGCCGCCCATCCTCCCCTCCCTCCCCTTTTATCTCCCCGCAGGTGAAGCTGATGGGGTGCTGCACTGCAAGCGCCGCAATCAACCGCAAACCCCCTCCCCTCCCGTCCCTCTCCCGTTCCCCTCCCCTCCCGTTCCTCCCAGGTGGTGGCGGTGAAGGTGTTGAAGCAGGGCGGGGGAGAGCAGGGGGACGACGAGTTTGTGACAGAGCTGGAGCTGCTGAGCCGCCTGGAGCACAAGCACCTGGTGAAGCTGATGGGGTACTGTATGCGGCGCAATCAGCGAATACTCGTCTACGAGTTTCTGCCCAACGGGAGCCTTGCCGACCACCTGCACGGTACGTGTGTGTGCTTGTGCTGCTGGGCTGCTTGCCTTGCTACTGCTGCTGCTAAGCTGCTATGCTGCTGTATTGTTGGTATACGAGTTTCTGCCCAATGGGAGCCTCGCCGACCACTTGCACGCACGGTACGGTACAGTGGTGTGTCGTTGGTTGGTACTACGGTGCTGCTGTGTGCGTCCATGCCAGACATGCGCCGCAATCAACGGCTGTTAGTGTACGAGTTTCTGCCCAACGGTAGCCTCGCCGACCACTTGCACGGTACGTGAGTGTGTGTGATTGCCTTGCACAGTGTGGGTTTGCTTCTGCTCTGACTGGTCTGAATGGTTTGCTGCTGGGCTGCTGTGTTGCCATGCTGCTGTGTGTGCTACTAGTGTACGGGTTTCTACCCAACGGGAGTCTTGCCGACCACTTGCGCGGTACGGTACGGTGCTGTGGCGTTTCTGCCTGGTTCGCTCCGCTGTTGTGCTGCTATGCTAAAATGCTTCTGTGCCGCTGTGCTGCTGTGCTGCTATGCTTCTGTGCTGCTAGTGTGTGAGTTTCTGCCCAACGGGAGTCTCGCCGACCGCTTGCACGGTACTGTGTTGTGTCATGAGGCGTTTCTCTCTTTCACAATCCCTCCCTCTGTTCCTTTTCCAAAAGGTCAGGCAGAACGGGCCTTGTCGTGGGAGAGGCGGCTGGAATCAGCAGCTGGGTCGATGTGAAAAACTATTCCCTTTTTTTCCGCTATAATTCATCCCCCGCTCTTTTCCTTTTCCTTCACCTGGCCGCGAGGTCAGGCAGAACGGGCCCCTATCGTGGGAGAGGCGGCTGATAATAACCATTGGATTGGCAAGCGGATTCTGTTCATAACATGTAGCCTTCTTCCTCCTCTCATCCTCCTCTCCCTTTCAACCACCAGGCAAGAAGGTCAGGCAGAACGGGCCCTTGTCGTGGGAGAAGCGGCTGAAGATGGCTATTTGAACAGCAAGGCAATCTTTTTCCTAATATCCTGCCTTCTTCCTTTTCTTGTCTTCCACTTCCTTCCAATTCAACCGCCAGGCAAAAAGGTCAGGCAGAACGGCCCCCTGTCATGGGAGAAGCGGCTGAAGATACCCGTTGGATCGGCGAGGCAATCTTTTTCCTAATATCCTGCCTTCTTCCTTTTCTTGTCTTCCACTCCCTTTCAATACAACCGCCAGGCAAAAAGGTCAGGCAGAACGGGCCCCTGTCATGGGAGAAGCATCTGAATAGTCGGTGTGACACTGTGAACATTCAAGCCGTTTAATGTGTTGTGATCCGTCCGTCCCTCTGTTCCGTTCTTTCCACCAGGCAAGAAGGTCAGGCAGAACGGGCCCCTGTCGTGGGAGAAGCATCTGAATAGTCGGTGTGACACTGTGAACATTCAAGCCGTTTAATGTGTTGTGATCCGTCCGTCCCTCTGTTCCGTTCTTTCCACCAGGCAAAAAGGTCAGGCAGAACGGGCCCCTGTCGTGGGAGAAGCGGCTGAAGATTGCTGTTGGATCGGCGAGGGGGTTGAGGTACCTGCACTCCCAGCGGCCGCAGGTGCTGCATCGAGATGTGAAGTCGCCCAACATACTCATCACTGACAGCTATGTTGCCAAGGTATGCGCGGCACTGCGGCACTGCGGCCACTTCCCAGTGCCCCTCTGGTATGTGAGCGGTTGCCAACCAAGGCACTGGAGCGAATCCTGATGCTGTGACCGCGAGGGGGTTGAGGTACCTGCACTCCCAGCGGCCGCAGGTGCTGCATCGCGATGTGAAGTCGCCCAACATACTCATCACTGACAGCTACGTGGATAAGGTGATTGAGGGAGATAGCTGCTGGAATGTGATGGAGTGTAGAGGAGTTGAGGACCTGCTTGCATTCGCAATGCCCACAGGTGCTGCCTCGGGATTGCACTCAAACTGAAACGGGTTTTCCACCTCAACCACCCACCCGCTCCCTCCAGGTGGCGTATTTCGGGTGGCGCCCACCCACCCACCCACCCACCCACCCACCCACCCACCCGCCCACCCGCCCACCCACCCACCCGCCCACCCGCTCCCTCCAGGTGGCGTATTTCGGCTGTGCGCAAGCTGATCAAGGTTTGAGTCGACTCAAAACGCGGCTCCCTCCAGGTTGCTGGCTTTGGGTGTGCGAAGCTGATCAATCAGACGATTCTGGTAGAGGACCTCAACATGGTGGAAACACTCCGACGACTCCCATCTTCCCCTCTCTCTTGCATTCACCCATTCGCATCGCACCCCACCCACCCACCCACTCTCCTCCCAACCCCAGGTGGCTGACTTTGGGTGTGCAAAGCTGATCAAGCAGACAATTCTAGTGGAGGATCCCAACACGGGCGAGATGGTGGAGACGCTGGGAGAAGCAGCACCACCAACTCCCATTCCTCTCTCTTTCACACATGCATATGCACTCCCACTTGCACTCACACCCCACCCACGCACCCACCCCCAGGTAGCGGACTTTGGGTGTGCGAAGTTAATCAAGAAGACGATTCTAGTGGAGGATCCCAACACGGGCGAGATGGTGGAGACGCTGGGGTGAAGTATCACCTCCCTCCCTCTCCCCTTTCTGTCCCTCTTCTCTCCTTACACTCTCTCCCTCTAACCTCCTTGTCCACATGCCCCCAGGTAGCGGACTTTGGGTGTGCGAAGTTAATCAAGAAGACGATTCTAGTGGAGGATCCCAACACGGGCGAGATGGTGGAGACGCTGGGGTGAAGTATCACCTCCCTCCCTCTCCCCTTTCTGTCCCTCTTCTCTCCTTACACTCTCTCCCTCTAATCTCCTTGTCCACATGCCCCCAGGTAGCGGACTTTGGGTGTGCGAAGTTAATCAAGAAGACGATTCTAGTAGAGGACCCCAACACGGGCGAGATGGTGGAGACGCTGGGAGAAGCAGCACCACCAACTCCCATTCCTCTCTCTTTCACACATGCATATGCACTCCCACTTGCACTCACACCCCACCCACGCACCCACCCCCAGGTAGCGGACTTTGGGTGTGCGAAGTTAATCAAGAAGACGATTCTAGTGGAGGATCCCAACACGGGCGAGATGGTGGAGACGCTGGGGTGAAGTATCACCTCCCTCCCTCTCCCCTTTCTGTCCCTCTTCTCTCCTTACACTCTCTCCCTCTAACCTCCTTGTCCACATGCCCCCAGGTAGCGGACTTTGGGTGTGCGAAGTTAATCAAGAAGACGATTCTAGTGGAGGATCCCAACACGGGCGAGATGGTGGAGACGCTGGGGTGAAGTATCACCTCCCTCCCTCTCCCCTTTCTGTCCCTCTTCTCTCCTTACACTCTCTCCCTCTAACCTCCTTGTCCACATGCCCCCAGGTAGCGGACTTTGGGTGTGCGAAGTTAATCAAGAAGACGATTCTAGTAGAGGACCCCAACACGGGCGAGATGGTGGAGACGCTGGGAGAAGCAGCACCACCAACTCCCATTCCTCTCTCTTTCACACATGCATATGCACTCCCACTTGCACTCACACCCCACCCACGCACCCACCCCCAGGTAGCGGACTTTGGGTGTGCGAAGTTAATCAAGAAGACGATTCTAGTGGAGGATCCCAACACGGGCGAGATGGTGGAGACGCTGGGGTGAAGTATCACCTCCCTCCCTCTCCCCTTTCTGTCCCTCTTCTCTCCTTACACTCTCTCCCTCTAACCTCCTTGTCCACATGCCCCCAGGTAGCGGACTTTGGGTGTGCGAAGTTAATCAAGAAGACGATTCTAGTGGAGGATCCCAACACGGGCGAGATGGTGGAGACGCTGGGGTGAAGTATCACCTCCCTCCCTCTCCCCTTTCTGTCCCTCTTCTCTCCTTACACTCTCTCCCTCTAACCTCCTTGTCCACATGCCCCCAGGTAGCGGACTTTGGGTGTGCGAAGTTAATCAAGAAGACGATTCTAGTAGAGGACCCCAACACGGGCGAGATGGTGGAGACGCTGGGAGAAGCAGCACCACCAACTCCCATTCCTCTCTCTTTCACACATGCATATGCACTCCCACTTGCACTCACACCCCACCCACGCACCCACCCCCAGGTAGCGGACTTTGGGTGTGCGAAGTTAATCAAGAAGACGATTCTAGTGGAGGATCCCAACACGGGCGAGATGGTGGAGACGCTGGGGTGAAGTATCACCTCCCTCCCTCTCCCCTTTCTGTCCCTCTTCTCTCCTTACACTCTCTCCCTCTAACCTCCTTGTCCACATGCCCCCAGGTAGCGGACTTTGGGTGTGCGAAGTTAATCAAGAAGACGATTCTAGTGGAGGATCCCAACACGGGCGAGATGGTGGAGACGCTGGGGTGAAGTATCACCTCCCTCCCTCTCCCCTTTCTGTCCCTCTTCTCTCCTTACACTCTCTCCCTCTAACCTCCTTGTCCACATGCCCCCAGGTAGCGGACTTTGGGTGTGCGAAGTTAATCAAGAAGACGATTCTAGTAGAGGACCCCAACACGGGCGAGATGGTGGAGACGCTGGGGGAGAACGTGGATGTGGCGATGGGGACGCACGGGCACATGGCTCCTGAGATACTCATGACTGGGGAAATCAGTGCTGCCACCGATGTGTACAGGTATGGACACAGGGAGTGTAGCATGTGAAGGGGACGGGCATTCACAGACGGATAGAATGTGGATGTGGCGATGGGCACGCACGGACATAAGGCTCCTGAGATACTGATGACTGGCGAGATCAGCGCTGCCACTGATGTGTACAGGTAGGGACGGGGTGGGTGCATGTGAGTGAAGGGAACGGACATTCCATTCATAGGAGGGGAGAACGTGGATGTGGCGATGGGCACGCACGGGCACATGGCCCCTGAGATACTCATGACTGGGGAAATTAGTGCCGCTACTGATGTTTACAGGTAAGTAGAACTGAGTTTTTCTCTAAAGGGGTCAAGACAACCACGAAAGGGAGATGGTGGAGAGATGGGGGAGAGATGGGGGAGAGATGGTGGAGAGATGGTGGAGAGATGGTGGAGAGATGGTGGAGAGATGGTGGAGAGATGGTGGAGAGATGGTGGAGAGATGGTGGAGAGATGGTGGAGAGATGGTGGAGAGATGGTGGAGAGATGGTGGAGAGATGGTGGAGAGATGGTGGAGACGCTGGGGGAGAACGTGGACGTGGCGATGGGCACACACGGGCACATGGCCCCTGAGATACTCATGACTGGGGAAATTAGTGCCGCTACTGATGTGTACAGGTAGGGGGAGAACGTGGATGTGGCTATGGGCACACACGGGCACATGGCCCCTGAGATACTCATGACTGGGGAGATCAGCGCTGCTACTGACGTGTACAGGTAGGGACGGGGTGGGTGCATGTGAGTGAAGGGAACGGACATTCCATTCATAGGAGGGGAGAACGTGGATGTGGCGATGGGCACGCACGGGCATATGGCTCCTGAGATACTGATGACAGGGGAAATCAGTGCAGCTACTGATGTGTACAGGTATGGGGCAGGAATGTTGTGCGTATGGTTACACACAGGGGCACTCAGAGGCACGCACGGGCACATGGCTCCTGAGATACTCATGACTGGGGAAATCAGCGCTGCCACTGATGTCTACAGGTAGGAGAGGGAGGATGAAGTGCACTTGCTGCTGAAATGGTTGGCGATGGGCACACACGGACACATGGCCCCTGAGATACTGATGACTGGGGAGATCAGCGCAGCTACAGACGTGTACAGGTACGGACACAGGGTGTGTAGCATATGACGGGGATGGGGCGGGCATTCACAGAAGGATAGAACATGGACGTGGCGATGGGCACATGGCCCCTGAGATACTGATGACAGGGGAAATTAGTGCAGCCACGGATGTGTACAGGTAAGAAAACGGGATGGTGTATAAAGGAGACAACCATAAAAGGAGATGGGGGGGACGCTGGCGGAGAACGTGGATGTGGCGATGGGCACGCACGGGCACATGGCTCCTGAGATTCTCATGACTGGGGAGATCAGCGCTGCTACGGATGTGTATAGGTATGTACACAGGGTGTGTATGTAGCATATGAAGGGGGCGGGGGGGCGGGGGGGCGGGCATTCGCAGAAGGATAGAGCGTGGATGTGGCGATGGGCACACACGGGCACATGGCTCCTGAGATTCTCATGACAGGAGAGATTAGCGCTGCTACTGACGTGTACAGGTATGGAATGGGGTGCTTGTGTAGGAGATGGTGGAAACATTGGGGGAGAACGCACAGGCACATGGCCCCTAAGATTTTGATGACTGGAGAGAGAACAGCACTGCTACCAATGTGTACAGGTAGTAGGTAGGCGGGTTTGAGGTAAGTTTGAGCGAGCTTATTGCTAAATTGGTTGACAGTAGGCACGCCCCCTCTTTCCCAGCTTCAATGAGTGGGCGCCTGCTCGGTTGTGGCTTTCCGTGCTGGTGCTGACACTGACACCCCATTGTTTCTCCTTCATCAACCCGCCCACACCACACCCCTTTGTCATGACATCATGACTTTCCCCACTGCCTCTCTCCCTCTCTCCCCCGCGCCTCTCTCTGCTTCGGAGTGGTGCTGCTGCTGCTGACCTTACAGGCCATTGTCTCGTGTTAGCACCCTGCACTCCCAACACCCCTTTCTCATGCCATGCCCCTCTGCGTCTCTCCCTTCTCCCACCTCCCCTCCAACCCCCCGCCCCCGCTCTCAGCTTCGGAGTGGTGCTGCTAGAAACACTGAGTGGCAGAGTACCGGTGTTTGAAGACGGCACGCTGCTGACACACTGGGTGAGTACAGAGTCCTGATTGCTGGTGGGGAAACATGCAGAAGGTGTGGCAGTGGGAGATGGCACACATTGCACTGTTGCTGGAAATATTGAGTGGCTGAGTGACTGTGTTTGAAGACGGCACATTGCTGACACACTGGGTGAGTGAGGAGGCTATTGTTGAGTGGTGGTGATGATCGCATGGCAGAGTGCTGACTGGGTGGTTGTGGCTGGAAACATTGAGTGGCAGAGACGCTGAGTGGCAGAGTGCCAGTGTGTCTTCAAACACACTGGATGAGTGAGGGAGCGTTGGTGCCGCCTCCTTCCTCCCTCCCCTCCGCTTTTCTCTCCCACCACATGCACTTTCAGGGCACACCATTTCTAAAAGAGAAGAAGTGGGATGAGCTGATTGATCCATCTATGCTTGCTGCTTCCTCACTTTTCCCTACCCATCCCTTTCTCATCCCCCTCTCACCCGCTCTTTGCATCTTTCAGGCCACGCCCTTCCTAAAAGAGAAGAGGTGGGATGAGCTGATCGATCCATCCATGCATGCTGCTTCCTCCTCCCCCACCTCCATCCTTTCCCCTCCACCCCCTCCCCCCTGCACCCCCCTCTTCGCACTTTTCAGGCCACGCCATTTCTAAAAGAGAAGAGGTGGGATGAGCTGATTGATCCATCCATGCTTGCTGCTTCCTCTCCCTTCCCTACCCATCCCTTTCTCATCCCCCTCTCACCCCCTTTTCACACTTTTCAGGCCACGCCCTTCCTAAAAGAGAAGAAGTGGGATGAGCTGATCGATCCTTCCATGCTTGCCGGTCACACACCAGAAGGAGGGGGAGGAGGGGGAGAAGGAGCAGTGCCAGCTGGCACTGGCGCCGGTGCTGATGCTGACGTGGCGCAGCCCAGAGTGGCTGCCACGTCAGCGTTTGCTCGGTGCGCTGAGCTGGCAGAGTCGTGCATTCAGTTCGACCCGCTGATGCGGCCGAGCATGGAGGACGTGGCACACACCCTGCAGGCGATCCAATTAGGTACCACCTCTTGAGAAAGCACGGTTACAGTACTGTGTAAGGTTCTGTTGAGAAATTCCACACATAAGGTTCTGCTAGAGGTGCGTGCTGACTGGTGCGGCCGAGCAAGCATGGAGGACGTGGGACACACCCTGCTGGCGGTCCAATAGGGAATTTCCGGTGAGGAAAGCAGATTGCCAGATGTGTCTTGAGGCAGTGCCTGAATGCATGCTGAGCAATGCGTGTCTGTGGTGCGGCCGAGCGAGCATGGAGGACGTGGCACACACCCTGCAGGCGATCCAATTAGGTACCACATCTTGAGAAAGAATGGTTACAGTATTGTGTAAGGTTCTGTTGAGAAATTTCACACATAAGGTACAGCTGAGAAATTTCACACATAAGGTACTGTTGAGACATTTCACACATAAGGTACTGTTGAGAAATTTCACATGTAAGGTGCTACTAGAGGTGCGTGCTGACTGGTGCGGCCGACCATGGAGAACGTGGCACACACCCCGCAGGAAACTGGATTGCCAGATGTGTCTTGAGGCAGTGCCTGAATGCATGCTGAACAATGCGTGTCTGTGGTGCGGCCGACCATGGAGGATGTGGCACACACCCTGCAGGCGATCCAATTAGGTACTAAAAGCATGGTTACTGAAAGCACGGTTACTGAAACCATGGGTACTATATTGTGTAAGTTACTTCATCTTCAGGATGCCCCGCTAAGAGAGGCACGTGGCTAGTGTATCATATCATGTAAGGTAATGTATAATATTAAGTATTGTATCATGTAAGGTACTATATCAAGTAAGGTACTGTATTGTATAAGGTACTGGATCGTGTAAGGTACAATATCGAGGCATCTTACACACCCCGTTCATTCCCCCTCCCTTGCCCTTTTTTCAACGCAGATAAGGACAACCCGTCCATATTCTCCTCACCTTCCAAACGCAGCAGCGGCACCAGCAGTAGCATTCACGACCCTTCATCCGTCCCAGCAGCAACAGACAGCAGCAGTACTATTGATAGCGGTATCAGTGGTATCAGCAGCAGCGGCAGCATTGGCAGCAGCAGCGGCAGCATCGGCGGCAGCAGTGCCAGACCCCCTTCCTCCTCCTCCCGTTCCCGAACCTCTTCCTCCCACTCTCAACCTGCCTCCCGAAGCTTGTCAGGTTCGGATGAGGTTCGGATTGTTCGAAGAAACTCCCAGGAAGGTGCTGGGATTGAAAGAGGAGTGAGCGGTGCAGATGGGTGGGATGAGTTGAATGAGGCAGACAAAGAAGGGAGAGAGGGGAGAGAAGGGAGAGAAAGGAGAGAGGGGAGAGAAGGAAGAGATGGGAGAGAGGGGAGAGAAGGGAGAGCGGGGAGAGAAAAGAGAGAAGAGGAGAGAAGGGAGAGAGGGAAGAGAAGGCAAAGAGGGGAGAGAGGGGAGAGAGTGGAGAGAGGGGAGAGAAGGGAAGGGACAACGGGGGGATGTCGGGGCAAGGGAGAAGGGAGAGGTGAGGGACAGGGAAACGGGGGGAAGGGCGGAGAGAGGGGCCAAAAAAGAGAAAGGGGAGAGGCAGAAAGAGAAGGAGAAGAGCAGAAGCGGACCAATAGCTCTGGAAAGGGAATAGAGTGACTCACTAGGCCTTTGCAAGGCGGAAGAATATGATACGGTACTTGGTTCACCGAATCTGGACAGATGGCCGGTGTGACTGGCGGTTCATCGAATGTGGACCAGAAACGGCAATGTGACACTCAGGTTCACAAGAAATGGCATTTCAACACTTGGCTTACAGAACGTGGAGGTGAAAGGCTATGTGGCACCTGCCTCATTTGATCTGGAAAAGGCAGGCAGGGTGATTGAAGCTATTGTCAGAATGAGGAATGAATGATCCATTGATGTTGGTTGGGGTACATATAGCTAACCCTAAGTTTTGTACCCCCTAAGACAAACCTCACTATAGGCTACAACATTTGACACACCCCCATAGCCTAAGTGAGGGGTGTCTAGCAGAACCAAACGAGTACGGTCACAAGACCAGTCCAAGAAACGAAGCTCAGGGTGGATCACAACGTCACCACACAGTCTGAGCACAAACAACAGTGGCCACAAGGCCAGTCCAAGAAGTAACAGAGGTATATAGAAAGCAAAGTAAACAGTACACTCAAGTCTAAGCAACACGAGAACCAGTGTCAACAAGGCCTAACTGCACACAGCACCTCTGGTGGTCACAAGGCGGAAGCGCCTTGGTGAAGATGTCTGCAGTGTTGGCCTCGGACTCCACAAACTCAAAGCGAGCCTGTCCACGCCTCTGCAACTCTCGCAGAAGAAAGTACCTGACGTGAATGTGCTTCACTCTGCTCTCCAGTCGTGGCTCTCGACAAAGGAGAATAGACGTCTTGTTGTCAGTGAACAAGGTCGGTGCAGAGCTCGGCCGCTCACCAAGGTCGGCGAGCAAGAAGGTCAACCAACGCAGCTCCTGTGCCGCCATGGCA